CCGACCAGCAGGGTGTAGTCACACTGCATGCTCGCATTAGACTTAGAGGCTCGCGCGATAAACACAGGCGACGCAAACGCTGCCGGAGCTTCCAACGTTTGTTCACAAACTGCAGCGAATGACAAACCGCAGATTAGGCAAATGGAAGGTCGTTCGACAATGACTGGCCAGACTTCAGATTCGACTAGACAATCTGTTAATAATCGAGATCAGAGAACCAGCGAGGTAAACAAGTGAAGCTGTTTTTTTGGGAGTTGCATGAGGAATGGAAATGAGAGCCGACTTTAAAGGTGTCTGGAAAACCTGTTAGGGCTGTCAGCGTATTAAATAGACACGTATAGAAATTAGATTCAATAATACATACAACATAGAAACTAGAGTAAATAGTGCAGTTTTTTTTGTTCAACTTAACTCACCTGTGTTCCAGGAAAAACTCAGCTGCCGCAGCAGCTTGGCATGGTCAGGCCGCGCAACTAACCTTACTGAGGTTATGTTTGTACTGGATGCCACCATGAAGCTTGCTGATAACAAAAATGTTGCGAATATGAATCAAACTTAAGAGAACAACAGTGACAGAAGTTTCACAAATGAATTAATTATTTCAGTTTAATAATTTCCAGAATGCTATTATTTTGCAAGGATAACATTACAGAAATTTCAATGCATGTTTTTTCATAATTATATCAATACAAATGGCTTTCAAAAGGTATATACTTACTTCTGCTACCCGTAAAATTTCCAATCATGGCTCGTGGTTTGGAAAAATTGCTGAAGACTGTGACATAATCTCTCGTAGCCAATGAGAAATCATCGAAAGTGATGTAGAGGAACTCGAATGACGGTTGATCAGTCATATCGAACGTGTACTGGCATGTCCCATTTTCTGGGAAAGGTTGCTCAGTGTGAGTTCCATTTCCAATTGTAAAATTGTGAGAACATGAGTTTGTTTCATCGACGCCTGCAAAAAAAAGTAGAATTTTTGGAGAAATAGTATATACTGTAATCATATATGGCCAAGCCGGATCAATGATAGTTTGGGACATCGCATATATGTGCTAAACTAAACTAGGCTTGGGCCGACAAGACAGTATATGGTATATACATACGTTCCAAACATTGTGGACGCCAATTCCTAAAACTCCTACTCTTGATTCCGAATCTCATTGTGCGCAGTGGAACCCCATTTCTGAGAATCCGCGCTTTTTGCAATTGTGAGCATGTGAGGCACAGTTTCGTTCCGGATGACCGCTTTGAACGCTTGTTTTAGAACGCGGATGATATAAGAAGTAATTTAGTTGATGTAGAGAAATAGTAATGTCTAGAGACCATACTGATGTAATTTGTATTGTTTAAAACTGTATACTTTTTGTGTGAGAGACGTTTGAAAATTGTCCGAAGTTTGGCCAGAAACTTTGATAGTTTGATTTAGCCAGTTTTTGGCCCTTCAGTTATTGATCAGTGAACTTTTGTGAGTTGTTGCTTAGCCTAGCAATATCTCTACACAATCCCTATGTTTGTGGGTCATATTTCTCGATGAAATAGTAGTTTATGTTCATTTGTTACTGTTTGTACACGTAATGGTGAAACACCATATTGAATATTGATATCAGGCTAGTCGTTTGGCTGAGTTTGCGAACTTTCAGTGAGGTCTATGAAAAGGAGTAAGTCAAAGGGTTATTTTATATTACTTGTCAGTTTGTTTATTACGATTTTTGTACACCTTTGCAGATTTACGAATACTCGATAGAATTGATGGATGTTTGACTGGAATTTTGAGCTGTATTGGGTCTTGATGGCAAATACACGATAAAGACTGTATCCAGTAAAATTCCTCCTGTCTATTTCGTTTATTGAACGAGCTTGCGGAAGACTCCGGGCGATTTGGCCACCACAAACATTGATACTGATAAATATACCAAGGCATGAAATTCATATTTTTTTACACCGACCCAGAGGGCTGGCAACAGCAGTTTTTTTTACCAGCCCTCCGAAAAATGTTGTCGTGTGCGGCATCGGATAGTGGCTGTTAAACAGACTATAATGCAGATCGTGAATGATGTCCGAAGTGTTTTTGTCAATGTCATGTTTCACACTTGCATTCTCGATTTCAAATTTGTAAAATGTGGATAAATTATTGGTGCGATCACAGGAACTTGGGACAGAGTCAGTAAAAACTGAAAATAATAGTCTGTATATATCAACTTGCTTTCACAAAAACTAATGCAGAATTAGCTGCACCCGCTCTCGCCGCTGCGAGTGTGCTGTGTCGCCATTATAATGATGATATATAGGTAGGAAACTCCGCCGCGTGATTTTTACTGATCGCTCCTCACTTTACGATTTCTCAAAATTGTCACGCATCTACGACCTCCATTTTTGGCTCGATCTGCCCTCTATAGTACACTGAACACCACTATGTAACTACGGTGGCTGATAAGTAGAACAGTTCTTTGTAATGTGACTTCAAACACACAAGTTTCGCGGTTCGTGCCGATTCTGCAGGAATGTATACCGTTCACGAGTCCAAATGGCCCCGCGCGTCGTGCGCCGCGGAGCGCGATTGGAGACTGGAGACAACTGGAGATGACACGTCCCCCCTGCAGCGAATCACGCTCCCCCGGCGCCCAACCTAGCTTCTTCTATATATATCATTATAATGGCGACACAGCACACTCGCAGCGGCGAGTGCAGATAAGGTTATCTAAAGGGATAGTAAACTGACGAATTTCCGCGTACTACTCGATACGTTGTATACCGTTATTTGAAGTCACACTCCTCCCTGTACTAATGGTCTGGTCTAAGAATCTTAGATTTCTAGAAATGTAACTGACATTCACATTCACCATCAGAGCACTTTCTTTTGAGGTGCACGAGCTTATATACAGAGTCGCCAGACATAGGCTCTTTGTGTAAGATGAGTTTGTTGCCAGTGTTTAATGCGCAGCTCATACTGGCGTATGAAAAACTTGGGCCGGCCAGTCCTAGGGATGGCGCATTATTGCTCCGATGCTATCGGTGGCAGCGAATGTGTCTCTCATAGTAATGTCAACGAATATTGGGATATTGAGTTTTGAAATTAGAAATAGTTTGAATTGTGTTGTGTTTTTACCATTTATCTCTCAATTTTGGCCAAAAGGATCATGCCATTACACTATCTATTTGTGATAAAGAGCATTTACTAAAATATGATCTCAGCTTGTTTCCAAGGTGGCAAGTCAAATCAGTCAAAGCTTTAAGTTTATACATTTCTGTAATATAATTGGATGATGGCATTGTGTTTTACCCATTAATTTGCTTAATTTGGTAGTTTACTAAAATCTGATTTAACTTTTTACTGTATACTGTCTATTCTGTCCCTTAATCGTTACGCTTTCCATTTTACATTTTGTGATATAAAAACGTAAAAGGTTTTACGCACAAAATCGTTGTTGTTTTTTAGCCTTGATAGGAAGACATAAGGCCAATCCGTTAGTCTTTGATAATTGCCAATTTAGGCTTAGTAACGTTCCCGCCAAGTAGGGCGTTGTTGAAGCTGGCAAGAAACAAATGCATAATCACCGTAATTCAGCTCGATACATAATTCAAATTGACAATTTTGGCTAACACTCCTCATTACATGGCTTTAACCCATTGCTCATTCAGTCCTCAGATGACTAACGTAGCCCTAGCCAGCGTGACTGGGTGAACAGGGCTAGTGATCGATTCGAGTCGATTCTATAGGTCGTTCTGTAAGTCTACGAAGTTTCACCTGGGGAGATCCATCATTTTAATATTGTGTACGCGTTACTCCAGGATTTGTTTAACTTAATACAGTAAACGTTTCCTCTCATTTTCAGCTCACACAATACATTTAACCACAATATGACGAAGGAGATTGGTATATCTACTATCCGCAAAATTTTAAAAGCAAATTAGTTGCTTTGCTTCCAATCCCCCCACCCGTATTAAGTCGCCACTTGGATAAAAGAAGGCATAGTAGGCCGATTTTTTCAAGACTAGTTTAAATAGGTTCTTCTCGAAGGCTTACATATGCAGCTACACAGAGGAATTGCACGCGACCTGTGATCTGGAAGATAAAAATAGACTGTGAACGTTTCTCCGAGAGTGTCAGGTACATGTAAAACTCGCCATAATGAAACGTTCAGACCAGCATGGGTTTGAGCCGCACTGGTACGGAAATATGACGACATAGCCCACCGTAAGTCAGTCATTTGATCGTCGATGTTAATGTAGCCATGCTGCCACACAGCGACGTCCGCTCTCGCCGGACTGAGACACAGCGCAGCGGAGCGCGACAGCAAACATGAGAACAATGGGTCCGATACATCCAATTGAGACGTCTGCTGCCGACTGTGAACAGCTTACCACTCACGGCGAAACCGGCACATGGCCGGCTCTGCTATCGTGAAGCACCGCTCTTGTTGCTTACAAGTGTAGCTTGGAATTGCACGGAGCATTGGTGTGTCGGGTGCAGTCTGGCAACGTTTCTTGTAACACATGCTGGTAGAAAGAGGATGAGCGGTAATCGCAAGGCCATGCTCTAGAACGACCGAACGTACGTAGTGTACACGAGATTTCAATTGATCACTACTTATATGATACATGCGTAGATTTACTACATATCACACAGACTATGCATATTTCAAATGCCTGGAGTTCGAGCAGTATATAACAGTGTTGTATCGACTCACCCCCCGACGTCCGAGTCCGAGTCGCGCATCCCGCCGACTCCGGCGCCACCCGAGCGTCCGAGTCCCACGACCACCGCCGAGTCCGAGTCCGATGCCGAGTTTGATAAAAAATAAAAGGCGGCACCCAGACCGTACGAGGCCACTCACTTTCTTTTTAAACTGTTTGGTTATTTCAAAAATGGGGGGGGCTGTTTCCTGTCACTTGTTTGCATAAAATAGAAGTACCATAAAACTTGCAATAAGTTCGATTGCCACTCGTTTCGGCCCAGCATAAATTCTGCCAGCCCGCGTTAGAGCCGATTAATTAACACGCGGCGGCCGTGGTCTCGTGTGACGATTAATATGCCCGTGGTTGAATATACGAATGATGCGGCGTGCGAACCTCGGCCCACGCGCCGATCTTTGAAAGCGCCCAAACCATCATGCTATGACTGCTAATCTATGTGTAGTGGCCTCCGGAGCCGGTCCTCGCCCGGAGTCCTTCGAGTCCGAGTCCCGAGTCATCTGCACTCCTGAGGCCGAGGACCGGAAGACCGCGAGACCTAAGGAGAAACGGTCTCAGGCCAACCCGGTCTCCGAACCATACACACTGGTAAATTCAAGGTTGGTAGCCTTACTCGACTCTGGGACTCTACGTTAATTTAAGAAGCACTATCACGCGATACTTGTTCCATTACGCTACGCGCATCGGAGCATTTCTGATGACCGACTTACATGGAAATTACGTGTTTGTATTACCTGGGACCGTGTCTGACAGGCACCGATTCCACATAATGACGGGCTTGATAAATGATGACTTAGCGCGGGGCGTATTTCTTGATGTAGCAACTCAGACTATCGGCCACCCATATGGATTTTACTATGAGAGAAATCGAAACTTGACATCACATGATGGACTTTATGCAAAAACTGACGGGATGAGGACATGACGGCATCCGACTATGCGAGTTTTACTGTACTAGATATCGTCACCTGACTGTACTTACCATGATAAGTTTAGTTTTCGAAAAAAGTTTAACAAGTTTACACTCTTTATAGAGGACTCGTCCGAATATACTATGCTAACTTTTGGCAGAAGAGTTCCCTGTGAAAGTAGCGCGTTCGTATTGTACTTCTGAGGCAATTCCTCCATTTACGTTTTAGCGGACTGAATTGCTGCCAACAAAATCTGATTACTCAAAACCTCAGCTGATTACTGACGTTTTGCAACAGTAACTGAGGACAGCCCGGCATACGTAGCTATGCGAAATACTACTATGTACTCAGCCGTAGTACTAAAGCCGCCGCGGAATAGGCTGCAATATAAGGGCCCGATAGCCGCACTGAATACCACGGCGCTAAGTACGTTGAAGCTATACTATGGTATCAGCTAAGCTAGTACTAGGTATTAACATCCACCTACACTAGTACTTGCAGCTGCGCCCAAGAAACGTCCTTTGCTAAGGGTTTCTAGAAAGCACCTGTCTGTGTGGTCCGGG